AAACGCTAACATACTCATCTTGTTTAGGTCATCCAATAGTCCCATGCTATAGAATGAGAGGGTATTATCCTCACTGAGAAAAAGTTTCAGAAAACTGACTTGTTCAATCTGCAGTTGCAACTTATCCTCAAATTCTGTGCTCTACTGAAATTTGAATTTTCTGTTCCTCAGAATAATCCCTGAGGTACCTCAAAGTTTGAAACTACAGAACTCAATTATGTTGTGAATATCTCCAGTATCAAACAACCCAATATGCACTTCTTAGTATAACAAGTTCCATTCCCAGAAAGTTTTGGAAAAAAAACTTATGAACAACTGATGCACCAAATGCCCTCAATTTATACATGAAAGGGCTAGCTACGTGAGTAAAGGAACTGTCTTATGAGAACCTCTCAAGCAGCCAGTTGAAAAGTTGTATATTAGCTTCCCAAGGCTATTGTGACAAAGTACCACACACAGGGTGGCTTAAACAACAGAAATTTATTTTCTCACAATTCTGAAGATTGTAAATCCGAGATCAAGGTGTCAGCAGGGCTGTCTTCTTACAAGACCTCTCAACTTGATTGTAGATGGCCTTTCTTCTCTAGTGTCATGCCTTCCCTTTGTGTTTGTGTCCTGATCTTCTTACAAGGAATGGATGACAGTCCATCTGGATGATCTTATTTTATATATATTTTAATTACCTCTTTAAAAGGCCCTGTCTCCAAATATACATTCCAAGGTACTTGGTGGTGGTAAAAAGGAAAGCATTAGGATCTAATATATAATTTAACCCTCTTGCCACACAAATTCATGTCCTTTAATACATAAAACATTCACCTCATCCCAGAAGCTTCAGAGTCTTAATAGGATACATCATTAACTGTTAAATCCAAAATCCCATCTGAATGTCATACATTGAGTATGGTAAACTAGATATATGATGTATCCTAAGACAAAATTCCTTTCCAGCTACTAGCCATAAAACCACACAAGTTACCTGCTTTCTAAATACAATGGCAGGACAGGAATAGGATAGATATTGCCATTCCAAAAAGGAAAAACCAGAAAAGAGAAGATGGGTCCTAAGCAAGTCTAAAACTTAATTCCATTAACTTTTAAAGCTGAATAGAAATAATCTTAGGTTCCATGCTCTGTCCTCCAAGTCCACATAAGTGGAGTCTTTGCCTTCCAGTGTGGGCAGTTTCACCATCTCAGGCCTTGGCTCTGATCCTGTGGTGGCAATGGCAATCTGCCAACCTCTGAGTAGCTTCTTGGGTCACTCTATTTTCTTTAAAAAAAAATTTTTTTTTTAAAAATATTTATTTATGCATGCAAGAGCTGGGGTGTAGGCCAGAGGTGGGGGAAGGGGATATGAGAGGATTCACCAGAAAGAATGGGGAGCAGAACAGGCAGACTGACAGAAATACACTGCTGAGGGGAGCAGTGGGTGAAACAGGAGAGGTCTGCTAACCCATGTGTGTTAGTTCCTGGTCCAGCTTCAGTGGCTGTCAAAAGCTTCATAGGGCTGAGCCTTAACACTCTGAGCCACCAAAAAGGTCCCTGGGTGTCTCTATTTTCTTAAGGTCAAAGCATTCATAGCCAGATAGCTCTATTTATCTAGTAGAATCCAGAAATCTGATTGCTTTTCTTTATTTCATCTAATCTCTGCCCCCTTTAGTCCAAGCTGGCACTCTCTTTGCTGGCATTGTTCCATCTCCATTCCTGCTTAGATAGCTTAATGGATCTATAAGTCACACTTTCATAATCTCTTCAGCAAATGCTTGTCTAGCAACAACTATGACATGGCTTCCATAACATGCTTTTTAATTTTCATAATGTGGACAGGCTGAGAATTTTCTAAATTTGGTTCCTTTTTTCTTAACATTTCCTCCTTTAACATACATCTCTCCTCTGCATTTTATTACAAACAGCAAAGAGAATACTTTGCTTAGAAGTCTCAACTAAATATTTAAGTTTATCACATACAAGTTCCATAATCCTCAAAACACTGAACACAATTTTGCCAAGTTCCTTGGCCTTTCCTCCAGTTTCTAATAACATGTTTCCTTTTCCATCTTAAATCCCACCAAAAGTACCTTGAACATAATTTCTACCAACATTCTGCTCATGATCACATATGTACACTTTCTAAGCCCTCAGCAGAAATGCCTATATTAACATCTATATTTCTATCAACAATATCACCAAGCAATCCTGATTTTTTTCTAATATGCACCTCAAAAATTCTAACTACTACCATATTCACATACAAAGTCACTTCCACATTTTAGGTATTTCTTAGAGCAGCATGCCACTTCCAATTACCAAAAGCTGTTACTAGTTTGCTGAAGCTAGATAGTACTATACATTGGGTGACTTAAGCAATTGTTTTCTCTCAATCGTGTAGGAGTTCAAGACTGAGGTGATATCGGCTGGATTCTTCAAAGGCCTCTCTCTCTTGCTCCAGTCTCTCTCCCAGTGTCCTCAACATGGCCTTTTATACATGTCTGTGTTCAAATGTCCTCTTCATATTGGATTAGAGTCCAACCATATGCCTTGTTTTAGTTTTATAAAACACAGTATAAGTAGTGGGGGCTAGTACTTCAACATAAGATTTTTAAGGAAACACAATCCATATTCACTATTCATATTCACTAGTATATGAATACAAAATACCACTCTTTCCCAATTACTGTACTAGCTGATGATCATTTAATATTGAATAAAACAGGTAAACTCTCTACTAAAAATGGGGGAAATAAGACTAGCAAATCTATCTGGTCAAGATATGAACACATTAACCACATTTCTTCAACATTTCTCAGAGACAACCACCAAATTTCCTTATACTCAGAAAATAAGGCTCTGCCAATAATCATCCTTCAATCAGCTACTTCTGCCATAACAAAACCAAGTATGGTAAACTAAATATTTCATATCCTTTGAAATCATTAACTTTTTAAAATTCTAATCTATTAAAAACATTGAAAATTCCTCTATACCAGATAACATAAACAAACTTAAAATACTATTTCCACCTTATCATTCCAACAACAAAACACAATCCAATCTTTAGTAAACAATATTACTTTAAAGCAGGTATAAAGTAATAAAAAACTAACATCTGTTTGGACAGGTGAACAATGAAAATGAAAATACCAATTTAAAAAGAAAGTAATATAAAAAGTTCATGTTAATTATCACACAGTTATTTTTGCTAACAGGATTCTGACAATAACAAATGAAAATTCACTTGTCAAGAAGGAAAAATAATTTTTAAACCACGCTATGAAAAGCAACTAAACAGCATTATAAAAAGAGGAAAAGGAGACACACAGTATATCTAACAATTGTTTTACCTTTCCTGAAATTAAATCTTTCTGTACTATTTTCAAAACAAGCTATTTACATAATAAAATACTGGGAAACACAAGCCCTAAAACCAAGTATCACACAGAAACAAAACATATGAAAATATTGAATAAAAGAGTGTACGTATAAATACACGGTTATACACAAAATCCAAGTTAGCATACTCCTACTATATCTTATTTACTTAGGATGAACAAATATAAATATACATATATAGATGCTAAATAAGATAAAGGTACTACCCATTCAAATATAAACAACATTGAATAGTACATTAGAAATCACATTTCTGTATCACTAAATGCAATAAAGACCTTTTGAAGAGTACTCTATTTAGTTTGGGGAAAACATGTTAAGTAAAGTTCAAAATAACAGCACATTTTAAATGAACAAAGATTATAGGACTCGGGATTGGCTTCTCACGGAGAAAGTTTAATGGCCATGAAATTGCACGCAAAACAAATAAAGAATGGTTATATTTAACAAATAGCATATTACTGGCTGAGGTTTTTCTCCTAAAAAGAGTAAACCAGAGAAAGATTAAGATGGATTGTAAGATCTCCAAAACAATTTCCATTTCAATTTTTAAATTTTAAGTGAAGGAACACAATCTAAGAAAGAAGTCTATCCAGTGAGAGTTAGCTATATAGAAAAAAAGTAGGAGAAATGAAAAATCCAATAGGACAAACCTTGTAATTAATGCTAATAAACTATCCAAAGTATTTTTATATGAGAGTTAAACTGTTAAATTAGAGAAAAGTAATACATTATCAGGATGACCTGAGGAACCTTTCTAATTATTATTTCCCTATTTATCCTTTCTAAAATTTGGGAATGTAAGGAAATGTATTGAGAAGAATGAAGATTATGTATATACTATATATCATATGATGGATAAACACTTTATGTCGATTATGAGAAAACTGTAGGATTAATACACATATAACATTTGATGTGAATTTAGACTTAACCAAAGTGATAATCTAAGTATAGCTTAGAAATATTTTTGTCCCATAGATGAATTTCCCTGTATTGTAAATAAGAGAATCAAGTAAGGTGCTTACAACAAATCAGCATTTCTAATTCGGTAGTTGAGGAAAAATACTTAAGTTTAATGAAAAGTTAGATTTAGGTATGAACTATATAAAACTGTTCAACATTATCTACAAAATAGATTAATTAGTTTAAAATTTAATTGTAGAAAAACAATCTAGTTCTTATCCACTCAGGTGTTTTCATAATAAATTAAGGTTTATAACAAAAGATTATAAAAACATTTAAAATATATGTTATATAAATTTATTTACACTTTAGATTTTTAAAAACTGTATTAATTTTTATTGAGGTAATGTTGGAATACAACATATAGACTCACACCTCTTTATATGTTTACTAACCAGATTAAACCCTCTCTACCAAGGTACCACAGTTTTCTACCACAGTCGACTGGGTACCTTTTATACTTTAAACTTTCTGGGCACATTCTTTATGAAAAAAGGTCTTTTTAAAAAAAACTATTTAAAATTTTAAGAACAGCTCATTAATTATTTTCAAGGGCAAGCAATAAATGTGTTAGCTGGAAATAGTCAACTTAATGATTACTTGTAATACTAATTTGATTATGTGAACCTAGAGAGCCTCCCCACCTGACTCCCCTATGAAGGAGAAGTTCTTTGTGTGCTTTTGTGTGTTGGTTCCACTGAATTCATTACAATAGAGATGGACATTTGATATTCATAACGATCCAACATCTGAGCAATCTTCTTTCGAGACACACCATGTGTATTCCTCCTACCAAAAAAGAAAAGAATTTAAAATTTTTTTTAGAATGCATAAGGTATAGACTAAACTATGTAGAATAATTATACAGATTCTAAATTAAATTATATTTTGCAAATAAATATTAGAATATATATCTCACTTACCTGTGTTTTATACAGACAAAAATTTATACTGGCTCCCTCAAAGTCTTTAATAATATATATTTTAAAAGATTCATTTAATTATGCATACAGAACTGAGGTATAAGCCAGAGGTGCAGGGCAGTGAGAGGATTCACCAGAGACACAATAGGGAGCAAGTAGGCAGGTGGACGAAGTATACTGCTGAGGGGAGCAGCAGGGAGAGACAGGAGATGTCTGCTGTACCATGTGGATCATCTCCAGGGCCAGGGACTGAACTCACACTAAAGCAGCTGAGGCTAGCTTTATAGTGCTGTGCTTTAATCCACTAAGCTACCAGGGAGAGCCCTTTAATATTTTATTTTATTTTATTTTTTAAATCTAGTAGTTTATTTTTAGATCATTTTGTGCATGTTTCCATCTCAGTTGTAATCCCCTTGGGCTTCCCATCACCAAATCACCATTGTGCCATCACCATAGTCTAGTGCATTTATAAGGATTTAAAGATATATCACAACAGATCTTACTATTAATTACTGAACCACTAAATTAATCTTGTACCTTTTTAACATCAAATTCAAAGATTATGGGGCCCTCCCTGATGGCGCAACAAGTTAGGTGGCAGCACTGCAAGACAGCAGCAGCTGCTTCATTGCGAGTTCATTCCCTGCCCCAGAGGTGACCCACATCGTGCAGCAGATCTCTCCTGTGTCAGCCCCTGTTCTCTCAGCAGTGTATTTCATTGATCTGCCTATTCTGCTCCCAGCTCTGCTTCTGGTGAATCCTCTCACCACCCCTGCACCTCTAGTCTGTATCCCAGTTCTATATGCATAAATAAATCATAAATCTTTTAAAAAATTCAAAGATTGAGACACTGTTTTGAGATTTATAGAAGAAAGAGATGGGCATTCTAGAACTTAAAAAATCAAGGTTTCTTTTTCTTTTATTTTTTAAAAATAACATAGTAGTTTATTTTTACATCATTTTGTGCATTTTGCCATCTCAGTTCTAATCCCCAGGCTTCCCGTCACCAAATCACCCGTGTGCCATCATGATAGTCCAGCTCACTTCCCTCGCCCCACTGTTTTTGATCCCACTCCACCCCTGTAAAATGTCTCTGGTATATAGATGTTCATTATTATTATTTTCTTGCCTGCTCCTTTATATTCCTGTTATGAGTGAAACCATTTTTCTTTTTCTTTCTGACTTATTTCACTAAGCATGATCTTTTCCAGCTCCATCCATGTTGCTGCAAAAGGCATGTTTTTTTTTTTTTTTGGTTGCTGAATAATATTCCATTGTGTATATGTACCACATCTTTTTAATCCAGTCATCTACTTTGGGGCATTTGGGTTGTTTCCATATCTTTCCAACCAATTGGTTTCTTTTTATTTTTAAGTTATTTTAGAAGCCTTCCGTTACATTTTAAGAGTCCATTATCATTACCAAAATGCTATTAAACATACAACTGGGCATTTCCCACACATAATTTTAGGTAAAGAAAATACATAAAATGAACATATACTGTATGATTACATTTAGAAGTTTGGAAAAAAAGGGCAATATTAAGCTATAACATTAAGGCAAAGATGTTTTAGGAAAAAAAGATGCTTTACAGAAAACCAAAGAAATAATTACTAGGGAATTACTACTGGAAAGGGAATACAATGGACTCACTCTCATGACATGCGTAATGGTTAAGTATTTGCATTGTGAGAACTTTGTTAAGCTACAGCGGTCAAAAGGGAAGGAAGTATATGAGGAAATACAGTGATGTTCACAGGGCACCATGGAAGTGTGAAAACTATGAGGATGACACCTGCAGGGAGAAACCTATTACTGTACAAAAATGAACAATGATGTAAGAAAATAAAATTTTAAAAATTTGCTAAGCTGTATATTTATATTTTATGTACTTTTCTATAAGTGAGTTTAATAATAACAAAAGGAATTTAAAAATATCCTTGACTTTCAAAGACCATTTCACCAGTTTATTTTACCCTGATACTTTTCTATATTTCATCAAGTCATTTATTCATGTAACTCAAATATCTTTTATTTTTAAAACTTTTGTCTTATTCTACCTGTGGTGCAACATACACAATTGAGCAGGCGAATCTAGGTAATAATAAATCTATCAGTTTATCTCTTCATACATGAATATCTGGCAGACAAATTAGAAAAGAAAGGTACCAAAAAGAATGAAAGGCAAGTGGGAGAAATTAAATTAGTTGGACACCCACCAATCTGTTATACAAATAACAACAAATTTGAGCTAAGAAAAGGCAAACTGGAAGCAAAAAAAAAACTGGTTTAACAAAGAAAGACAATAATTGCAAAACTTGGTGAATATACTGAAGTACACTAAATTGTACACCTTTATAGGGAGAATTTGGTAACATAACAAGGAAAGGGGCCTTAAAACCTTGAATTTAAGTCAAAGTTTCTCTTATCACAAAGTAAAAAGTAGCGCCTATTCACCAGTAGCAAAGATATAACAAGCAAAAGTTAGTAAAGAAATTGTGTAAAAAGATACAAAGAAAAAAAAAATAAGGCTTCAATAAACATTAGAGAGCCTTACTTTTCTAATTCTTCAGGATCAAATTTCCACCAAGTTTCAGGTTCATGAAACTCTACTTTGTATCCTTTTTCTATGGCCTACACAGGGGGAAAAGAAAAAAAATTCAGAGAATATCTTTTAAAGTAAAAAAGAAGACATAATAATTTCATTCAGATAATACTTCTAACTTTGCTCAAACAAGAAAAAATTTACTTTTAAAGTAAATGCTACATTTGTCCTTACAAAAATATTCAGGTCACTTACTAAATATAGTCCACTTAATAGCCTTAAATCCAGAAAAGACTAACAAGGTAAACATGTTCCTTAATAAGCACCATTTCTAATTTTTCAAAATCTAGTGAAACAAACATAACTCTTTAGAAGAAAAAGACAAATGTGTTAATAACAAATTTCAAAGTAATATAAATTTCAAACATAAAAATACTCTCATATTTCATATTTACCATTTCCACATATGGTTTCATTTCCCAAGCTTGTATATTAGTGTTGTCTATTATAACTGGAGATCGCCCCTGATTGATGGCTTGTTTTGCTGAAACAAAAGATAATTAAAAAAAAAAACAAAATTTAAAGTACAGAACCTAGGCAAAAATTCAAAAATAAAATTTAAACAATTCATTATTAAGAAATTCTCTACATCTCTGTACTTAAAACCAAAACTGCTCAGTGCCATTAAATAATTAAAGAACTCTATTAAATTGAAAGGAAATTAAGAAACATAGTCACATAGAATGTACATTCTCTGTACACTGGATGCTGGTTTTGTCAAACTAGCTATAAGGAAATTTGGGGGAAAATATTTTGTCAAACTGAAAGTTAATGAAGCCTTCAGTACAGAGTTAAAATTGCATTTACAGAAAATACAGGAACAAGTTACAACAGAATATGGTCTAAGTATGAGAAGAGGTGGACGCTTACTTGTAGTAGGAAGAAATATCAGGGTTATGATGGAATTGTAGAAGTAAAAGAATTCACAGATACAGAGTGGAGAACAAAAAAGGGCAGATTTATCTAAATAATTTGCTGAAAGAAGCGGGTAAGATGGGAGAAGTCTGAGCCTACAAAGGATTTGGGGCTCTTTTTATATCCGTATTTGCGGGTTTTCCTGTTGGGGAGTGTCAGTCAGCCTTCCCTTCAAGTAGTATCTGGCTTCTGTATGCCCTGTTTCCACATTCTCTAGAATTCTGAACAGCTCTAGGCCATGTAGACCCATGGCCTGGTTCCCATGGTGATTTCATCAGATTCCCTATCTTATGTACTTTGTGTCTCTTACTAATGCTCTGCTGAGCAAAATGCAGAGACTACATTTTAACTTTACTAAATGTACCCCAGTGTTGGAGACTGTTAAGTGAAAATATCAAGTTACAAGACAGCATGTATGGTCGTAATTTTGGTTAATATAAAGAGATGGAAAGAATTACTAAGTTATCAAAAGTATATCTGCAAGATAATGCTTTTGAAATAAGAAAGACCTGCTTTTTAATTTTTTTAGAGTACTATGGATTTATCATTACTTACTAGCAAAATTTTATATACCACATTAACAAAATACCATCGTTCATTTTACTATGGCTTTTTCTTAGTACTATGACTCTCAAATTAGGAGTGGAGATTGAAATGAACTTTTCTAAGCTAAACCTTTTCCCTTCACCATCTCTTCCCCCATGAGATGGAAATCACCACCACAGTGAACCAATACTAATGACAATAGCACAGCATATGTACTCCTTAAGTGTAACCAAACAAACAGAGAAAGAACCCATGGTAAAATGTAAAAGATGGAGGCAATGATATGTAAGTTGTCTTGGTATTTATAATTCAAACAACTGGTTTCTACATAATGAAAACATTTATACAGATATCTAGGGCAAACAGAATTATACAGATAAGTTGAAAAAATGATGTCTATAATGAAATCCATATTTGAGAATGGTATCTCTAGAATCCAAAAGAAATAGACTATTTGGGTCATAAACAGGATTCCAAGAAGCTACTACCTCCCACTATTCCATCCTCAACCAGAAAGTGATCAAACCTTTCATAAAAATTCTCCTACTGTTTCATAGTTAGGTTTATACCCAAACCTAGTTATATTCTAGAAGAGATCATTAACTGATTATCTGATTTGAAGTAAACCTCTTTCCAAAAATAATAATCATCAAATATCACATTTTATTGCTCCAAGAGACTAGAGTTCCTAAGTCATCAATGTCTGAATACTCAAATGATGAGTCATTTTCTTAAACTAAACATCAAGGCTAAGATTCTTCTAATAACAAATACAAGGTTTGGATAAGGTAAGGGACCAGAATCATGCCTAGAATGTAAAGATCTTCAATAATTATTTGTTGAAAATGGAAATGTTGCCCCAAATAAGTCATGATTACAATTTTGAAAACGTCTAATAATTGCCTGTTATTTTCTAAAAGGTAAAAATTAGTTGCTATTTTTATACTGATAATAAAACCAGAAATTTACCTAGACAGCACTAAGTAGTTCAACAATCATAATTTACATGGCATGAACATTTTAATGAAATAGTCTAGACTAGTATTGCACAGAGAAAAAATGTCTGACTCAAATTTCCCAATCCAAAAAACATACACAGGCTTAGACTACTGGCTTAACTCATGCCACTATCACCTACTCCCTTTAATTTCAGGTTTTAAACATTTTTGGAATTGCTACACCATCATGTTTTAATCTGGGCAATAATGCTCTGTGGCACTTTTAAAATCAAAAATAATATTTTTGAGATCCTTGTTCATAACAAAAATAATTTAATTATCACTGCATTCTTCATCTTTTTGAAAGTAAATCTATAGTAAAGTAAAAATCAAAATTATCTCAGGGAACTGTAGGGCAGAGACATTCTGTTAGGGAAGAAGGAGGGAGAAGGGCCAGGACAGGGGTGGGAAGAGCACAGGCATTATAGTGATGGTGCACTGGTGAATTAGGAATTTCACAGGAAAATCATATATTGTACAAAAATGAAGGAGGATGTTATGAATATAGCAAAATAATTTTTTCTTTTTATTTATGCATACAGAACTGGGTTATACAGACCAGAGGTGCAGAGGTGGTGAGAGGAAATCACCAGAGGCAGAGTGGGGAGCAGAACAGGCAGACTGATGAAGTACATTGCTGAAGGGAGCAGCGGGCGGGTCAGAAGAGTGTCTGCTGTGCCATAAGGGTAACCTCTGGAGCTGGGGATCGAACTGACACTGAAGCAGCTGTGGCTGGCTTGCAGTGCTACTGCTTTAACCACCACTAGGGAGAGCCCGTTAAAATTTTTTTTTTAAAAAGAAAAGTTGGCCCTCCCTGGTAGTGCAGCAGGTTAAAGCTTAGCACTGCAAGCTAGCCACAGATGCTTCAGTGCAAGTTCCATCCCTGGCCCTGGAGGTGGCGCAGCAGACCTCTAGTCTCCCTGCTGCTCTCTGCAGCAGTGTACTTTGTCAGTTGGTCTGTTGTGCTCCCCATTCTGCCTCTGGTGAATCCTCTCACCACCCTATGCCTCTGACTGTACCCCAGTTCTGTACCCCAGTTTGCAATCCTGACTACAGATTAGAACACCCAGATGATTTTAAAAAATGCTTATGGCCTACTTCAAAACAAATAAAACACCATCTCTGAGCTAAGCTGCAAGCAAATATATTTTTTCCCAAGGGCTCTAAGTTGTTCAAATGTGCACCCATACTTAAGAACCACAATTCCAAGATGAAAAGAAACTATCATGTGCCTCTCCAAAATATAATTAAGTAGATTTTTTTGTAGAATAATATTGAGAAAAACTCTGATTATTCACTGGCATTATATTAAGCCTTAAGGAATATTACTATTATTCCTTAGGAAATAGTTTTTTGGGAATACCTAACGGTAGCATGAGTGTTCTTTGAATTTATTCATGGGGTATATAATAGTCTATCAAAATGCCCTGCAAGTTTTTTACCACCTTATATTAGGGTAAACTATTTATAGTTTATGAAATAGATGTTATGATTTTCACAAAACCTCATTTAGGTACGATAAGTATAATTATCATCGCTTCTAATAGAGGAAAAACTTGAGTTTTAAAACTATTCAACTCACTGGCAAAAGTAGCTGTTCAACTAAGTTGTTCCAAGTCTAACTTGAAAACAAAAACCACACCCTAGTCAAATAGTCTATCCCAGGAGACTTGGCTCAAAACAAACCTCTGTTCTGGTTCCAGTCATGAGCATCACCAAGTTGATTAACATTATACCTGTACCCATCTTGATGGTGAAAATAGTCATCAGTGCTGAACACAATGCCATCAGGACTCTGACCAAGCAGAATTCTGTTAATAAAAAAAATCATAAAGGTGCTATTTATGAAACCTATAACCATCAGAAATAAGCTACAGAGGAAAGGTTATTAAATAAATTTCTTTTACTTACCTGTAAGTATATAGGAAAAACACAGCACAAGAACTTAACTATCTTAAAAAGCTTTCCAATTTCAGGGCCTCCTGGTGGTGCAAGAGGTTAAGTCTCATTACTATTAAGCTATCACAAGCCACTGCAATACGAGTTAGATACCAGCCAGGAAGCTGACCCACATGGTGCTGCAGATACCTCCTGTCTCCCCCACTGCTCCCCTCAGCAGTGTATTTCAGTAGATGTGCGTGTCGTGTTCCCACTCTGTCTCTGGTGAATCCTCTCATTGCCGTCCCCCCCCCCCCACACCTACACCTCTGGCATATACCCCAGTTCTTGTATGCATAAATAAATTAAATTTAAAAAAAAAATCACTGCACACTTAAATCCACATAATTATAGCCAGTTATCAAAGACCTTTTTTTGATAAATGGAGAAACAAAATGTGTATATATGCATGCATGCATATGGAGCCCACCCAGGAATGTTATTCAGTATTTAAAAATTAGAAGGAAATCTTGCCACTTACAACACAGATAAACTTTAGAGGTATTATGCTAAGTGAAATAAGCAGAAGACAGAGAGACGCAAATGTCGTATGATCTCAGGTATGTGTGAAATATATTGGAAAAAATTCCCAAACTGATACAAAGGAGTGGAGATTTTGGGGTTGAGAAGTGGTTACAGTTGTAAAAATATATAAACCATGGACATGTAACAGATAGCTCAGTGACCACAGTTAATAATACAGCATTATATATATGTAAAAATGCTAAAAGAAAAAATCTCAAAAGCTTTCATCACAAAAAATATTCATAAAGATGTTGGTAATGGCTATTAACTAGTCTTCATCAAACTGTTATACACCTGAATCTACTGTCATGTCAATTATCTCTATTAAAACAAACATTTCAAAGCATCATGTATATTCCAACTTTTAAAAGCCCTCTTTACCAATCCCCAAATATGTCATTATCTGTATTTTACCTTTAATGAACTTAAAGGTTGGTGTATACATTTACTCAGTCCAACCGATATCCTTAAAAGTACTTATAGCAAGTAATTCATTTGGAGAAAACCATATTTGACTTAATATAACACTGAAAAACTGATTTCCATGAAGCATAAATATGTATGATCTAAAAGTGGGTGTCAAAAATAATTTAAGATTGTGAACTAACTTGTGATTCTCCAGTTTAATTAAACCTTAAATGTTTTAAGAGATTAAATTACTAAATAAAATATTTAAAACTAAATAAAGAACACATTCTCACATCAGGATGTTAATAAAGCTTTGATTATATCACAATATAGTATCACCTTCAATTTATAAGCACAACGAGATTAACTAGTTACAGAATTTGCAAAAGCAGTAAGTAACTCATAAAAGAAGTTTAGAGAGTGCTGAGAAAAGGGAAGCCAGTAACAGAATTATTTGTATCCAATAATTACAGAAGTATTGTGCAGTTTTTTTCTTCTTTCCCATTAGGCAACTGGATATCATTCTGTAACTTTTTAAAAGCTAGAGAGGAGATTAAAAGCGTAATAATCATGTCCTGGGATGATTAAGGAATACTTCCTACTAAAAAGTAATGATGGTACTACTATCGAATCTCCTGTCCTCCGCTTACAATCACATTGCATTTATTGTTTCTGGTTTGTCTGTTTTTGGATATAAAGGACAGGGGTGTAGGCCAGAGGTATGAGGGATGGGAAGATTCACCAGCGACAGTGGGGCGCAGAACAGGCAGATTTACTGAAACCCACTGCTACAGGGAGCAGCAGGAAGGAAGATAGGAGAGGTCCACTGAGTCTTGTGGGTTAGCTCACAATCACAGGTCAAAGATGAAACAGACCACAGCAGCTGTGATAATGCTGAGACTTACCCCCCATGCTACCCAAAATTGCATTTATTTTATAAGAAAAATGAGGTTACATCAAAATAAAAAAAATTAATATATTTTCCGGTTTTTAAATATGTATTTCAGGCCTCCCTGGTGGCACATAGATAGGGGTAAAGTCTCAAAGCCAGCAAGCTATCAAGCTCTTGCCAGCCACTCCCTCATGAGTTCAATCCCGGCCAGGGAAATAAGCCACATGGTGCAGCAGACCTCTCCTGTCTCACCAGCTGCTCCCCTCAACAATATTATTTCAGTAGATTTGCCTGTTCTGCTCCCCACTGTCTCTAGTGAATCTCCTCACATCCTGAACCTCTGGCGTAATACCCCACTTCTTGTATGCATAGAACTTTTAAAAACACGTTTAAAAAATAAATATGTATTTCCACATATTAAGTTATAAAGTTCTTCAAGCTAAATTAGAGGTTTGAGTTGTTTGTTCAGAGAGCTGGAGTTAGATTTCACTTTTTAACAATTACTTTTCCAAAATACACTCATGTAACTTTTAGTATCTTATTTGCTTTTACAGACAGCCTAGAATATTAAAAGTGTCACAATATTAGCACTGCAAACCAAGGTCAATCACTTAAAGATTTTGATTGTAATCAGCCATATGACAACTAAATATATTCAACATTAGCAAAAAACAGACACCATCTTTCCTAAATACCCGTAAGTTTTGCTGTTGTTGTTCTACAACTCAGCAGTTGATTTGAAATAACAGTAACAATACTACAAAAGTACAACAGCTTTTGTAGCCAAAAAATATTTCTTACTTCTCCCAAATTTTAAAGAGGGGGAAAGAAGAGACAGGGAATCAATTACATCATTAAACCAAGTCAGTATCAGATATAAACTTCTATGAAGAACATTTTAAATACATAAATCATAATTATAGGAAATAATTTAAAGAGATTTTTCCCTTCCAGAGATCACAGATGCTGATATATCTTTTTGAAAATTTCCCTGATTTATCGCAAATAGGAGTTTTATTTGAAGAACATGTATTTTTTTTTTTTAAAGATTTATTTATTTGTGCATACAGAACTGGGGCACAGGCCAGAGGCTCAGGGGCGGCGAGAGGCTTCACCAGAGACAGAGTGGGGAACAGAACAGGCAGATCAACGAAGTACACTGCTGAGGGGAGCAGCGGACGGGTCAGGAGAGGTCTGCCACGCCATGTGGTCTCCTCCGGGGCAGGCGGGAATCGAACTCATGCAGAGGCGGCTTTAGATTCTCAGTGCTGTGCTTTAACCCGCTGCGCCACCAGGGAGGGCCAGAACATGTATTTTTAAAATACATTTATGATCTGGATTTATCAGATGTCATCTAAACATCTGAATCAAAAATAAATTATTTAAAAACAGTTATTTTCAAAATTCTACTCTCTCAGAATTCTCAAAATGGATTCCCAGAAAGTCAAAATTTAGAACTACGAATAAGAAGTCTCCATAATGAAAAGTAAATATGGGTCGACTGCCACTTGGTTTGTATTTTTCAAAGTAGCTATCTTTTTGAGAATTTACATGTACCAAACATTTAAATGCATTCATGATCTCATTTAATGTGAATAAGCTTGCCAATTTGATACTAAACAAATCCAGGGGGAAAAAAATCAGAAATCAGGTTACCAGTTACACAGATAATAGCGGAAGAGCCAAAATAAGAAGTCTCTCAGACTCCAGAACCAATGACTTAAAATGATCTATCTCCTGGTATACACATTCTTTGTATAATCCCTCCCCCTTGCGGGTTGAATTCAGCGGCTAGTCTAAGATTATACACCCACCCACCCACCTCCCCCAAATGACAACTTTTGTTTGGGGCTCTGGGCTGGAAAGCTTTCTCTCATTCCAATGGTGAAAGGCCAAACTAGCAAGAAACTTAAGATCACCTGTCCACAGCCAGCAAGGAACTGAGTCCCCTCATTCAGTAACTCCTATGGAACTGAGTATTGTCAACAACTACCTGAATAATTTCCAGTCATTCCCAAGTCAAACCTTTAGACAAGAATACAGCACTAGACAATATGTGGATCACAATATGTGGATCTAAATCAGAGGCACCCAGATTTGTCTTTCACAAACTGAGTCAATTTAGGTTTGCAGCTTTAACATCTAAATTACAGAATATTGTTACACAGCCAAAGACTAATTATTCACTCTATGCTTATATGTGGGTTCTCAGGAGCTGGCCACTCATGGGCAACTGTGACCTATTTGCTGTCTACAAATTGCAACAGAGAATTCCTTGACTACCTACAGAGTATAGAGCTTCCATCATGAGACAGCTTATATGATGCATATAGAGTTTCTATCAGGGGAAGCCTAGGCCACTGCTGACCTGATTACGTGACTGTCTCCATGGTGGTAGACAGTCAGGATTACTCTGCCTGTGATAACATCAAATAGTTTGCTGATGCAAATGTCTCCTAGTGTATGGTCAAGATGTCCCCCCTTCCCCATCCCTCATAAAACATTGTCCCTCATTCCTCTTCCACTCTCCAGACTTTATTTCCCACACCACTGTTGCATGATCAGCTTTTACTAGCCTGTGTTTTCAATAAATGGCACAAGAATTTCTGGTCAAATAGGAGAGTCTTGCCTTGCAAACCTGCTCCACAACTGCTGTGTCCCTCATGGCACTCTTAGGGCAAAGCAGCAATAAAGCTCCTATCACAGCACTTACAATGTTCACCTAAATGAAAAACAAGTGAATCCTGTTCCTTAAACCTTACTTGGGAACCCTATTCCCCAAAATGGCCAAATATGAGAGCTAACTTTCATGGTTTACTTTTTACATTTCTAAGAACTGTACATTATTTACCTTAATACATCCATATGCATTAAAAAGAGAAATGCCCCCCAGCCAAAAAACTGAGTAGTAATTCATGAATCTTTTCCCTCTGTATTTACTGAGTGGCCTGGCATACTCCTAGCCAAATACCACTTTACTCACTAAATACCCCCTGATTTAAGAATTGAGACCTACAGAAGAGGCAATAAGAAATTACTATAAATTTG